GCGGAACGGACGGGGAAGGGGGCGGGTACCGCTGGCTCTGCCTCTAGATAGGCAGAGCCAGCTGTCAATCACACACCTGGGTGGATCCAGACAGTAATGTCGGGATCCGTCCCGGCTGCGGCGTCTCAGTATACCACGAGTTGTAGCGGTATACTGAGCTTTGGGTCACGGGAGGGCGCTAGTTTGTGTCCGCCCATGACCCTGGGGAGAACTATGGGGAAATGCACTGACCCCATAGTTCTCCTTTTAATATACCTATAAGAACTCAATATCCAGTAATATTCTGTGCATTTAGGAATACATCTACATTTTTTTTTTTAAACAATTAACTGAGCTAGCTAGAACGATCTCCTGGTGGAGCCTATTCCACATTTTCACAGCTCTAACTGTGAAGAATCCTTTCTGTATGCAAAGGTTAATCAGTTAATCTCTCCTCATAGCTGAGCTCCTCCAAGCTTCTTATGAGTTTAGTTGCCCTTCTCTGCACTTTCTCCAGTTCCACAACATCCTTTTTGTGAACTGGTACCCAAAACTGAACTGCATATTCCAGATGAGGTCTTACTAATGCTGTGTACAGGGGCAGGATTATGTCTCTGGAGTCTAGACCCCTGTTAATACAAGAAAGTATTTTACTGGCTTTAGAAACTGCGGCTTGATATTGCATGCTATTATTCAGTCTATGATCTACCAGAACACCCAGATCTTTCTCCATCATTGACTCCCCCAAACATACTCCCCCTAGAGTGTATGACGCATGCATGTTTTTAGTCCCCAAGTGCAGAACTTTACATTTATCAACATTAAACCTCATTTTCCAGTAGATGCCCAATCACACAGTGCATTCAGATCTGCTCGTAGGTTGGAGACTTCCTGTAAGGACTATATTCCACTACATAGCTTGGTGTCATCTGCAAACACAGAAATAGTACTTTTAATCCCCAATTCTATGTAATTTATAAATAGGTTAAACAGTAAGGGGCCAAACACTGAACCTTGGGTGACACCACTAACAACCTCAGACCATTCAGAGTACGAATCATTGATCACCACTCTCTGAATACAGTCTTTAAGCCAGTTTTATACCTACTGACCTTAACTTATACATTAGCCGCATGTGGGGAACTGTGTCAAACGCTTTTGCAAAGTCCAAGTATACTATATCCACAGCCATTCCTCTGTCAATGTATTACTCACTTCCTCATAAAAAGAAAGAAAGTAGGTTTGTTTGACAACTTCTGTCTTTTGTGAATCCGTGCTGACTGTCGCTTAGGATATTATTTTCAAGCAAAAACAATTGCATGTGATCTTTGATCAAACTTTCAAGTATCTTGCCAACTATTGCGCCAATCCATCAGTACCAAGCCAGTCGTTAGAGAGTCTCTAAAATGAGATACAATGGCTTTGAAATTACACAGCTCAGTTCCTTGAGGACACATGGGTGTAAGCCATCCAGTCCAGGTGCTTTATTCACCTTAATTTTGTCTGTTTCTGGAGCATATCAATAGTCAGCCATTGTGGTTTAGTAGAGGCTATGGCACTCCTATCCCCATTATTGACTTGAGTTACATTGTGTTCCCTGGTGTGCACAGAGCTGAAGAAAGTATTTAATAGATTTGCCTTCTCTTTGTCCCCATTTACCAACTCTGAGTTATATTTTAAGGGACAAACATGCTCAGACCTGATTTTTTTACTATTAATATATTTAAAGATTTTTTGGGTGTTAATCTTGCAATCTTTTGCAACCTGTTGTTCATTTTGAATCTTTGCAAGCTTTATTTCCTTTTTACATATTTTATTATATTCTTTGTAGCTTTCAAATGACGACATTGCTTCTTCATTTTTATATTTTTTAAACGTCCTTTTCTTATTCTTTATGGCTTTTTTAACATTGAATGTGAGCCACATGGGTTTTGCTTGTAGCCTTTTAAACTTATTGCTTACAGGAATGTATTTTGTCGTATGGTTGCGAACAATTGTTTTGAAACATTCACATTTTTGTTGTGTTTTTTGATGAAAATATTCCCTCCCTTCTAAGGGAGTTATTCACAGAGGAGCCGAAGGATCCAACCGTAGCTTTGGTTGATCCTTCGGCTCTCTTCGGCAGCTGGAGCCCTCCGGTTAAGTCGAACCAAATGGCTGCTTTACGGGCTATTCACTGTATCCTGTACAGCAGCTGAAGGCAGTCGAGCCGAAGGCATATGCTCCGACTCAACTGAACCGAAGTGACAACTGAAGCAGGGCGAACAGTCGGCTCTGCCCAGGTGTAATGACAGATCAGCATCCCCAAATGATCTGGGGACGCTGAACTATCACTAAACAATAACAACTGGGCGGCCGGCCGTCTCCGCCCAGTTGTTATTCATTGGCCGGGACCTGCTAGAAGGTGCTGGCCAATAGGAAACAGTTGGACTTTTCTAATTGTACTAACAGTTACCAATGTGCGCCCCAGCTGTTAGACTTACCCAAACCAACCACATAGCCTCCAGATATAATCATACTGATTGAAATGTCTATACCACCCTTTCTCGACCTTGTTAGCACAGAGGAAACCCTTGAAATAACTTTCCGATCTGAGGGAACCCCTGCTAATAATTACTGTATATACAGATCATGGTACATTAGCAAGATGGTCTCTGGGAAGAATGTTCCTTACATTTGTGGTAATTGTGGAGAATTAACCTCTATCAGATAGCTAAAAGGTTATTGTTGTTAGTAGTTACTTGGTGGTTACTTCTCTTTAAGAGGCAGATATTGTTCATTGCTCAAGGAACCCCAAGCAACCTCTGGGGGAATCCTAGGGTTCCACAAAACCCTGGTTGAGAAAGGCAGGTGTACACAAAGTCACAGAAGAATTCCCTGCCTGTCATTTGCCACTGACGTAAATGTAACAGGCAGATCTCCCAGAATACCATTTACTTTTAGTTGAGGCTGTTCCCCCATTGGGGCAATGTTAAGCAACAGTGAAGTATTTATTTATGTGGAATTTCTCTTATTTAGCGCAACAGTATGAGGATGTACTGGCATTCCATTGCATAATCACTTTCATGTGTGGTGTAGCTATGACTATGGCACATGTAAGGGATAATCAAGATTTGTTAGATCAACGCATATGATGTTCAAACAATGTATGAATATGTAACTGATCATTTCTTTTTGCCAAGTAACAGCCCCTGTTATGAATGAACAGGAATCCTCTATACTGAGTGTCTCTGTACATTCATAACTTATGGAGATAGTATGTTTACTATATCCACAATCATGAATGAACAGGAAGTGATGTAGAGCACTTCCTTTTTATTCATAATTGGGGACACAGTAAACATACTATGTCCCCAATTATTTACAAGCAGTCAGCGATTAGCTGATCATGGACAGCTTGTACCCGTTCTCCATCCTGACTCGCTGTCACAGGAGGCTGAGTGGGTGGTGCGGAGAGGAAAGCTTGGTCTATTTTGACAGCGGACTCCTCCCCCCCGCCCCAGACAGAGCAGAGCACAGCGGGGAGGAGAGAAACAAGGAATGCACCGAAAGTACCGAAGAGATGGTACTTTCAGCGTTTTGCCAAAAGTGCCATTTTCGGACAATATGTTCCGGTTCATCCCTTGTCTTATATCTTCTCTATTTATACAAGATAGGCTATGTTGCGTGTCTGATATACCACACCTTTGTGATAGGAGAATCAAGCCTCCAAATTAGCTCCTCTTATTAATAACCCTTCTTCTTGTCTATGATCACTTCAAATGCTTTCAAAACTTTGATCAATGACTAAAGTGGTCAGTGGTTAATGTACAGAGTAGGGATGCACCAATACCGATACTAGTATCGGTATCGATACCGAGTATTTGGGTGAGTACCTAGCACGAGTACTTCCTGTATCAGGAAGCCGGGCAGCGCATCATTACACACTGCCTGGTTTCCTGATTGGCCAGGAAACGGCTCCATGCTCTCTCGTTACTCGTGATGAGAGAGCATGGAGCCGACTTCCCGGCCAATTAGGAAGCCGGGTAGCGTGCAATGATGCCCTGCCCGGCTTCCCGATTGGTCAGGAAGCTAGCAAATCCGGAAGCCGGGCGCAGTGTAATGACGCAGCACCCGGCATTCTGATTGACCGGGAAGCCGGAGTCATGCTCCCTCGTCATCTCATGAATCATAATATTAAGAAAGTGACCTTAAACCATTAGCTTGTATGACCTGTCCCTTTAACAAAAAGTATCGGTAATTGGTATCTGCGAGTACTTGATCAAAAGTATCGGTACTCGGTCTTAAAAAAGTGGTATCGGTGCATTCCTAGTACAGAGGACATTAAAAAACAATCTTGTACCTTGTCAACCACATACTGTTATTATATAGTGCACTTACGTAGTAGGAGTTTTGCATAACCATTGTGATAGCAGACTGAATCTTATTGTTTGGGTATGTTGCAGAAGACCTGACTGTACTTTCATTTACTTGAATTGTGGCACATACTCTGGCATTGTACCTATTGACATCAGGAAAATTGCTTTGTGGTTTTATTTCTAAATATGTGCTACATAAAAGAAACAAAATAGTTTCTTTTAAACTCAATGGGCTTGTGTCTTTTTTCAACCTGACTAACTATGTAACTATGTAAATTCACATAATAATAATAATGTAATGGTTGAGGAAAATATATGCACATTTTCTATGGTGACCCCCCAACCTATTCTTGCCTGTCCTTCACTTGTATCTCCTTTTTTTTTGTTTGATATATATTACTTTACTTATTAAGGTTAAAAAGGATGAAGTCTATAAAGCTATGCCTATTGTAGTTTATGAATGTGTTGATCCAAGGAATGCAGAACGCTTTAATTTTTGAACACACAATAAAAAAAAGGATATGCTTTCTCAACTCCATAAGTAGTAGGAGGAAGAAATTTCCCGGGTCAATGACATGTGCTGCCTATTTCAATCATTGTATTTATAAAATAAAGTTCAAAATATAATAAAAAATAATATTATGTCTGTTCTTCTCATGGTAGCTGTACAAAAATGGCAGATTACGAGGAGAGAGAAAGGTGGTCAAAAGGATCAGAAGACCATGCTGCAGAAGCAATGGCTGCTGACATGGATCCCTGGATAAAGTTTGATGCAAGAAAGTCTCCGCGAGCTGAGTTTGAAGACTGGCTAGAAACGTATCGTCCTTCTAGGGTCTCTCGTTTCGGTAATCCTGAAGAAGGATCTGGACCAGTAGGGTGGTTGGCAGTGTATGGCCCCGGTTTTTGTCCACAGATCGAAGGTAGAAAAGAACTTCAGGATGCCTGGGACAAGCTTCAGAGTACCGGACGGAAAATCAACTATGATCTTGTCCGAGAGTTGGCCCTTAACTATGGTGTAATATCTGGAAAATGGCTGATGCATTTAGACACAGGCTTCAAAGTTGACCATGCATGGTGTGGAATAGCGACTGCAGTGATAGAAGGTCGTCTTAGAGTAGCAAAAGTAAGTCCTCATCAGCAAGATAGCAAACATGTTATATGTGTGTATACATGTGACTTTACAGATGAGGAAAGCATCATGCAAACAGATGCCGTCATCCGCAGCTCAGGTGTAAAATGCCCACTATTTTACAAGCCAGATGTCTACACTCACCTAGGCATCTATAGAAACAACCAGTGGCAAATATGTCCTACCATATATGAAAGTCGATATGATCTGGAATGCATTCCTCGGAGATCAAGAGTTACCAACAAAATTACTAACATAGAAGTGACATAAAGTGAAATTCTTACCTAAATCACATTAAAAACAAACATAAAAATTGTTTTACTCAATATTTGTGTGGATTGTTTGGCCAATTCTTCTGTTCTAAGGACCAACCTATGTTGAAATACATATTGGTCTCTGACTGTCTTAAACACATAATTTAGTATTCTATACATATATAAAAAAATAACTTTTACACAGAAAAAGCCTAATCATTTATTGGGGAATACACGAATCACATTTCTTTCCCCTTGAATCTATACTATCTCACCTATGCTCATCCCACCAGGCTGTTTCTCATTTGCATTATCAGTGGCTTTAGGTTGTAGTCCTTTCTTTTGTTAATTGCCTCTTCGGAATAGTACATTGAACATATCATGCTGTTCCTTTTTGCTAGCATTTAAGGTGACCCCATTTGGCATATTAGTTTATTTCTCTGGTAGCAGATTGAACTCCTAATTTGAAGGCTCTTTAAAGAGTGCAACTATTTGGGATACCAATATTCAACATGAGAGCTATCCATTTTTTTTTTAAATCCAGACTTGACCTGTACCTATGACCCCTAACTACAACTTGCTTGTAATAGCAAGACCACCTTTCTGAATTTTGTATCTGTAACCCTACCTAAAAGCTGCTGTCACTGATTCCTGCTTAGAAAGATCTGGCATGTGGAAAAAAAACAAACCTAAAGAGGCTGCTCCGCTGTGTGAAGCAATTGCTCTGGACTACCAACAATGTTAACATGTTGCAAGTTATTGCTGAGGACTGCAGGCATGTTACTCACATTACTGTTTAAGCAGAGGGCACAGGAAAGCTTTGCTACGGTAGCTGACCTTAATTGGGGTAACATGTTCTAATATTTCCTTTTCTGATCAGGTGATGAGTAATATCCCCATCCGTAGGGTATGCATGGGAGCAAGCTATTCCATGTAGCGCCACATACCAATGCACATTTGCATAGTCTGCTTATAATGTAAATAGGATTTTGAGCCTGAATTCTGCCACTGCAGAACCACATCCAAACCAGCAGGCAGAAACATACATTTGTACTTACACTTAACAGCAGTATTTTAATTTTTCCCTGTGAACAAAGCATTTTAGTTTGACACTGTCCTTCAGGCTTGCCTTTATACTAACGATGTTCCTAAAAATTAAAGTAACCGTCTTTGTTGTGCTTCTGCTAGTCTGTCTACTAAGGTGATTCGTTTTTGTGCGTGGACATACAGTAGATGCTGTTTGAACGTAAGTTTTTCATCTTCTGGAAATATAAATAATACTGAAAGAAAATGTCATAAGATGGGAGCTCATAATCCCCGTCTCTTCAATAATAGCTTCTACTCTTGTAACTGATGGATTTATTTGGTCTACAAACAAAGACAAATACTGTAGATGGTGCTTCTAGATGTATAATGTGGTACCCTTCTACTACTATTCCAAAAGTATGAAAACCACTCACTTGGATATGTGGCTGGGTCACAAATATTTGCAAGCCACAACAAACATCCCTATCAATCCCTATGTAATCCTCCTAGAATCACCACTATGAATGCTCCACTGAGCTACTTTGACAGATCCCCTATGCAGGGAAAGTTGTGTCAGATGACATTTCTTATTTTTGAATGGCTCTCTCATCCTTTATTAAGTAGCACTGTAATGGAATAAAACCCACCCTGGCCACTCTTTATTAAGCATCTGTTTAGAGTGAAATTCTAACCTACAGTATATCCAGTTTTAAAGTGGATCTATGGGCAAAATCAGAAGTTATATAGAACATGCAGTCTGCCAATTACATTAGCAGAGCAGTTTTTGTTTTCATTAGTACCCCCTCAATGAACCTGGGCAAATTTGCTCATCCCTTAAGCAGACCATTGTATGCACCCCTGTCACTGTTAAATAGTTTGTCCCAACCCGTGAACAAAACTTTTGCTGGACAGCTTACCCCATTAAAGAAAGTGGAGAGAAAAGTCTACAGCTTTTAATTGCAACAGATGTCTGTGAAGGTTCTCATTCATCCAGGTCATGGTATATCTGTAAAAAGTAAATCCAAGGCAACCAGACTGCTGTATTTTTCTTTTGCTGGTCATCCAAATCGTTTTCTCAATTCAGATACACTTACAGATATATATAGAGATGTATATTTCCAACCCCATCCATGTGTGAGCTCCAGAAGTGGCTCCTCCATCTTAAAAAAACATAGGCTGGTCTTCCTCCAGCAGTCCCTCCTCTCAGCATTTGGTATAATACTGAAGCTATGTGGACATGATTAAAAATGCTGACGTTTGATCATTGGTGGTTTTTCGATTACTTGCCCTGAAAGATCAAAGTGAAAATGACTGTGTTAGCCAGAAGCTGAGCTCATGCACTGGAAACATTCTCTTGAGTACCTGGTCCACAAGGCTTAAAGGGATCCAAAGAGCCTTTTTTTTTTTTCAAGTGCAAAGGTCTTTTTTAGTGAAGACTTTAGAGAGGATTTTGATGTCCACATTTAACAAGGATATAGGGCGGTAGTTGGTCCAAGAGAGGGTGTCTCTATCGGGTTTAGGTATCATTACAATGTTAGCAATGAGCATCTGCGGGGACACAGTATCACCCTTCAGGAGACCATTAAACAGAGTGGCCAGATGAGGAGACAAGTCATCGGACCTGGTCCAGGTCATTTACCCTTTTTAAAAGATTTAATAGCATGCTGTAGTTCAGTGACAGAGATCTCTGATTCTAATAGATCTTGGCCAGCATGAGGGATCTCAGGAAGGGTGACACATGAAAGAAACGGATAGTGTCTAGGGAGGAGGGGGAAGGGGCAGAGTATATTTTGGAGAGGTGATGGCGGAATTCTGTCAAAATTTGAATCGGGTCACTAGTGCGGGTGGCCAGTCTGGTCTTAAGGGAGATTGGAGTCAGGATGTTGTCAAATGTCTGGAGTCTTTTAGCTAGCATGGAGTCAGGCTTGTTGCCTTTTAAGTAGAACCTGTTTTGTCCAACGCAAGGAGCGTTTAGCCCTGTCAGTGAGGCAGAGATCAAGGTCAACCTGTGTCAATGATAATTGTTTACAGTTAAAAGCTGTAGGGTTGGACTTAGAATCTTGGGCCACCCGATCCAACTCGGCTTCAAGGTGCTGAATGTTTTGGTTATGTTCCCGCTTTCACTTAGAAGCGATCTGGATCAGGTGTCCCCGAATTACTGACTTGTAGGCTTCCCACAATGTTGACTTGGATGAGACCGACCCTGTGCTAAGGTGAAAATAGTCAAGATTGCGTGCCCGGTGTTCCGATAGTACATCAGTTAGTGAGCGCAGCGATTCGTTCAATGACCAGGAGGAGGAAGGAGGTATACGAAGAACAGAGAAGCAAACTATTAGCACCGCATCATGGTCTGACCAGGGAATAGGAAGAATGTGAGAGGAAGACAGAGAGCGCCTGTGCAGAAACGCATGATTGAGAGTGATGAGGGTGGGAATAGAAAGTGTAGTGCTTACCTATGGTATGGTGGTCCCGCCACACATCCATTAAGTTGTACTGCAGCAACAATCGCTGAAAACTTTTGCTCTGTGCAGGATGAGCAGCAGAACCTGGGGGATATTTATCCAGTTTGGAATTGAGAACCAGATTAGAGTCCCCACACAGGAAAAGAGTACCTTTAGTGTGAGCAGTCAGGAGAGAGCATAAATGAGTGAGAAAAGGAATTGGGTTGGTATTGGGAGCGTAGTATGTGAGAACAGTGAGTTTCTCGTCACAAAGTCTTCACGTCAAGAGAAGATATCGCCCGTCTGGGTCAGCTATCTGCTTAGTGCATCTGAAGTTTGCAGTTTTGCAAAATGCTATGAGGACCCCCCCTATTCTTCGTGGAGGCATTAGCTTGAAACAATGATGGGAAAAGAGCATCAAAATACTTAGGGGCACAAGCTTTAGCAAAATGTTTTTCTTGAAGATATGCCATGTCGACATGATGACTTCAGAGGTAACGGAAGGTTTTTGCGCGTTTCTGAGAATTTAGGCCTTGCACGTTCAGGGAAAGCCAGCGAAACGGCATATTGCAGATCGCAATTGGAAGCCAAGGAGAGCACTGTGTGCTTCAAAAGGGTAGGAGGTAGAGAAAGGTAGCAAGGGGAGGGCTGTTAGAAAGCCAGACTGGGAAAGGAGAGGAGGGGGGCAGTGGGAAGGACAGGAATAGGCTAGCGGTCAAGAAGTGAAAGAGAAGGGAGAGAAAAAGGAGAAAGACACAGGTTAGGCAGAGGGAGTAGAAAAGATAAGAAAAAGTGCGCCAGGAGGCACACTGCAAATGAGTTCAAGACCAGAGGCAACCGATGCAGAGAACCAGGAGGGTGGCACAAGGAACCACCCAGGCAAGGTGTTCCCGAAGATTAAGCTAAAGAGGCATCACATAAAAATGTTGTAATGAAGGGGTCACAATGAGAGCAGGGCAGGCACACGCAGGCCACCCAGACTCATTAGGCCCCTAAGCAATCCATGGTACGGGAAGCAATGGGTAAGGGATAAAGACTGAGGTTAGTCGCCAAAATGATTGCAGCCAATACCCCAAACCGGAACCACGTGCGGCAAAAGCCGCCCCGGCAGTTTAGAGCTGGGGGGGAAACCATACAGAAAAGTAGGCCACCGGGATCCTTCTCACAGCCCCTCAAGACAGATTGAGGACATATCCATATTAAAAAATTTACACTAGGCAGGAATAATAAAACAGTGTAATGAAACCAGTCCATACGAACCAGGAACAGGCAGAAGCGGGTTGCAGGCAAAGGCCACTGGAGGTGAGACACAGCCACATGGGCCTAGAGTAGAAAGGTTAGCCATCGCCTTCTGGTTGGAAGATATCAGCCAAGGAGAGCGCTGGCGAAACACATTTTGCTAAGGTGGTAGGAGACAAATCAGAATAGACCTGCAGGTTGTGGCCTTGGAAGGTGAGGGGGGCTTTGTCACAAGCAGGCTGAAGGATCCTCTCTTTAAATTTCAGGACTGTCAGGACGTCTCTGGGGGGGCGTCAGATCGTGGCCTAGTCAGGGCCCGATGCATGCAGTCCAGGCGATCTGGCGGGATGTCAGGTGATAATTCCTGAAAGAAAGCTAGTATGGAGTCATGTAGATCGGTGACGGTTTCTGGTAAGCCACGACTGTTTTCAGAGTCTTTCTGCTTATCTTTAAGCTGCTGCAACTCTTCTGAGTGCCACTAATTCATGTTCGTGGTCATCCAGGACCAAGGTGGCGTCGCCCATACAGTGTTCAATGGCATTGGTCCGGCGGCCCACATCGCGGATTTGACGGAGCAAATCTGTAGAGCTTGCGGGTAGCTGTGGATATTTCCTCACGGACTATGCTGCAGAATTGGGTGAGCAGCTGCGAGTCCTTATTCGGGTTCTGAGTGCGGAAGGCAGGCAGAATCTGGGACCAGGTGTCAGTGTGCACCACCGGGTCCTAACCCACCGACTGTCTCCTATTCTCATCTGAGGATGGAGGCACGGGTGCCATTTTGGTGGGCCGCAGCACGGGCTACAGAACTCCTCTTGTTTTGCAGGCTTGCTTGCCCTTATTCGTCTTCCCCACGGAGCATCATGGATCCTACCTGAGGATCCGGTCGGTAGAGAGGGTAAGTAGGATGTCGCGAAAAAAAAGGCGATTGGGGGATGTGTGCAAGTGATAAACACAGCGCTAAAGGTGGATTCCGTAAGAAAGTAGGTGTCAAATATAAATTAATATATTGCCTTGTTCTGAAGGTATAATATATATATATCCAACGTACTGGGGGACTAGTTACCTCCTCAAGGTGTATATATGTGTATATACATATAAGTGAATAACGTCCCAATGAAAAAATATCAAAAACAACTATGTATAAATCAAGTGATAACAAAGTGTCTAAACCTCATTTGTGTTGATAAATCTGAGCATAGACTTCTACGTGGATACAATGCAACACAATGTGAAAAAAATGTTAACAATAAAAATCTCATAAGTGAATGGTAAAAAAGTGACAAATCCTCAAACCTTTGAGTCAAACCGTTAATAAAATAAAATAAAATTAAACTGTTGTACAGATAAGGTGCAAATAGTTCCTCCAAACTTATTATTCACTTATATGTATATATACACCTTGAGGAGGTAACTAGTCCCCCAGTACGGTGGATATATATATACCTTCAGAACAAGGCAATATATTAATTTATATTTTACACCTACTTTCTTACGGAATCCACCTTTAGCGCTGTGTTATCACTTGCACATCATATTTTACCAATTCATAGCAGCTTTAGGATTAGTATTCTAACTTTTTAGCCTTATCTTTCCAAGAGCGCAGATTCTGTTATCTAAAGATTGGGGGATGTGTGCCTGGGTGGAGCGGAGCAGATATAAACCATAGCCATCTTAGATTGCTGCGCGCATGCACCCACTCTACTATTTTATTATTTCACCAACAGTACATTTAAGATTTTAAATGCCCCACCTGATAACGCAATATTGTACATTTCAATAAAACTAGAGCCACTATGTTCTAGACAGAGTTGTATTCGTTAAGAATTTGGCATAAAGATATTAAAGTGGACCTTTACCCCCTTTCACTAAAAACACATCAGCATGCAGATATGAAATCATCTCTCATTCATTACTTAAACAGCTATAATATAGCAATGGCACTGCCCATATTTCTCATAGGAAATGTTTACAAAAAAGGAAGTTCTGCAATCCTGAATTTATATTTTCCCCTTTAACTGAGATCATGTGACCAACTATGTGGTCTTTTCATGGTGACCAACATTTTCTCCTGGAAAAGTAAATATTTATATTACCCTTTATTTATCAATTCTAGTAAGATTGTTACCATGTCAGAATATGTCTACTTTAAAGTGACAATAAATTTGGGCGTTAAATCTTAAAAATGCATTTAAGTACCTTAAAGGAGAACTATGAGGTGAGTTCTAGCCGACCTGTGACAATGAGACTGTCACAGGTCGGCTCAGTAGATCGGGAGATGATCGAACATATACCGGCATTCGCTCACCTCTCAATTGCAATAGCTGTAGGCCTATTGCAGTTTTACCCACAGCCTGGCTGAAAAACAACTACTGCGAACAAATCACATCATCCCTCCTATGATCCCTCCTGTACATGGGGTGGGCCCAAGCAACACTGGAACAAGTGCTCTCCTCCTCTCAAGACTTGCACATGCACAGTGCTCCCTAGATACCTCAGAGGCTGAGCTCAGTGCTGCTATGACCGGGAGGAAGAGCATTCATGCCAATAGCATCCCAGATCATAGGAGGGATGATGTGATTTGTTCACAGTAGTTGTTTTTCAGCCAGGCTGTGGGTAAAACTGGAATAGGCCTACAGATATTGCAATTAAAGTACATATGTACCCTTCTCAGATCACAGCCAGGGTGGCGCTAATCACTCCCAGTAGTAGCAGTTCAGCCAGGCCGTGGTTAAAAGACAATGGGCCTACAGGAACTGCAATTAAAATTAAATTCATAAGAGAGCTGCCGAATCCCTGGCAGAGGTGTGATCTGACCATTTAATTTTTTATTTTTATCTCCTAAAGTGCTCTCCTACAGAGATACAAGGTTTGCACTCCCCCTAACTGCCATCTTCGAGTCTTCAGACTTCTCGAAAGGACAACCTAGGATGGCATTACCCCCACCCCTGCATACTACCCGTGATGTACATTTAAAAAAAACAAAAAACAATTACAGCAAGAAAAATCTTTTATGGCAAAGATACATAGAGAGTCCCATCTGCTGTGAAACTCTAGCTGCTATCAACATTTAAAAATGTAAATGTAACTTTACTGCTGGGAGGAGTTAAATAGGACAAAAACTTGTTTGAGCATATAAGGCTAAGGGGTTACAAACGGATTTCTAAGCCCATAGGCTAACAGTCTGCAAGTTTTAGAAATTAAAAGAGAACTATGAGGCGAGTGCTTTTCACTCACCTCATAGTTCTAGCCGACCTGTGACAATGAGACTGTCACAGGTCGGCTCAGTAGATCAGGAAGTGGGCGAACACATACCGGCGTTCGTTCACTTCTCGATCCTTTCACGGCAGGATTCCCCCCTCCCCGATCCACCAGCGCTGACTGGCGGAACGGACGGGGGAGGGTGCGGGTAGAGCTGGCTCGTCTCTAGATAGGCAGAGCCAGCTGTCACTCACGCAGCTGGGCGGATCTCGACATCGATGTTGGGATCCGCTCCGGCGTCTCAGTATACCGCGAGCTGTAGCTCGCAGTATACTGAGCTTAGGGTGACGGGAGGACGCTAGTTTATGTCCTCCGTTAGCCTAAGGAGAACTATGGGGAAAAGCCCTGACCCCATAGTTCTCCTTTAAGTATCCTTGATACCCTCTCAGTGAACAAGACCAAAGACAATGTGATACCGCCCGTATTTTTTTTGGCTTCTCAATCGCAAGCTGTGCATTTAAAAGGTTATTATATTATCTGATGATTTCTACAGCCTATACTAATTACAATTGGAACTAAACATGTGAGCTGGTCAAGAAGTACACAAAAAGGCACTTTCACTGCATAAATTAAATGAGAAAGAAAATAAACAAAAAACAACAGTCAGAGCTGGTCAAGATGTACTAAAAAGGCACTTTGTTCACTGAATAAATGTAAATTAAATAAAAAAGCAGTCTGAGAACAAACATCCATTCACATTCCCCCTTACCAAATGGTAAAAATAGAAACCTTTACAACTTCATTGTAAAATACATATTGGTTAACAAAATCTTTAAAATGGTTACATTTGCAAACTAATGTAGAAGAGTTAATTTGCCCAAACATAAATGTTTATTAATGGGTTAACCATTTGTGTATATTTTATTTAAATGAGAGGTACCAATACAATATGCAAGTCACCCCCGTTTACGTGTCAGTGTAGCCAAATGAAGCCTCAACTCCTTTCCAAGCCAGATAAAATATAAATGTCATCTCTTCTGCAGCCAGCTAAGCACTAAATTTTTGTCTTTTATTTAACGTGGATGTGATTTTGCTGATATCTACTAGAATGTAATAGATGACTACATTAAAATACACAGCAATACGATTAATTTCATACAACAGTAGCCCGTAGCAAGACTATTTCAGGCTATTAAAGATGCAGCATGGCTACTTCTAACTCTGGTAAGAGTGAATCAGAATGGTATCCGATGGGGCCAGCACAGTCCTCAACATTGTAGGCCCAATATCACCTAAATAGCAAAAGCACCCTGAAGGAGTTAAAGGCCAACTGTGTCCTGAAGAATTTCCTAACCCACTAGTGAAGGCATAGAGCTTTGCTGCATCGAAGCTCTGAATACATCTTCACCAATCATTCATTTCATGTAGTCATCTTTAGTCATGAAAGATGTAAAGTCAAGATCCATAATGGAGCGTAAGCAGTCTCCTTGCTGCAGGTCAAAAATCCCATTCATTAAGGTGCTGTCAAGTCTTTCAGAGTTTTCCTCTCCACAAGTCTCCTCGTTAGACCCAGAAGCCATGAGCCGAGCAATTGATTCCGGATAAGCCATGAGGGTATTCTGACTAGGCATAGATTCGTGGAGGGCCTGTGAAAAAGAACCTGAAGACTGGGATTGACTGAGAAGTTGGCCAAAGTCACTATTGTCAATAGAACTTAAACTGGCACAGTGGCCGTCAGGATCATTATGCAGCATATTTCCTAAATCAAGGTTTCCATCATCTGTAAAAGAAGGATAGTCCAAATCTATACGCTCTTCAGTTGGTTGTGGTGGAGGCTGTTGCACCGGAGGCATAGGAGAAAATCCAATACTGGTAAAGTCACTGATATTCACAGTGGAGAGAAGTGTGGACACCGAATGTTCATCATGCTTTAGCAAATACGGAGACACTGAAGAAAGACTTGACATCTGAGTGCTTGGACGGATGGGTGATGGTGCAGGTTCTAAATCAAACATAAAAAAAAAAAATAGTTACGTTCTTAAGAACAATTAAAAGGAGGAAGCCAAGAAGAGAGACCAGAATAAACCACAAACCTTGTTTTGGAATGCTGCGTGTTGGTATAGCAATCCTGCGCTGGTTCTTGGTTTCATTTCCTAAAAGTACAGTAACATTTGTGTCAGGACAATTCCCAATGCAAAGTTTTTTTCCTGAGCAAAAAATAAATACAAAGTTAAAAGGTTTGCACTAAAAACTAATGCAAAGTTGGAACTTTGCGTTGGTGCTCATTGCAAAGTCCGTGTTACCAGTGGGCACCAATGCAAATTCAGTGTCATTCTGATAGTATATAATTATGTTTTAAATTAAATTAGATGCAAGATTTACAGAAAATAAAACATTTTCCCTGTTTTTTTTTCCCCAGAAAAAAAGAAATGCAGCGTATAGTAGTTTTACAAATTGAAAGTCATTTTGGGAACACCAAATGCACTGCATATAAAAGTATTAGGCTTGAAATAAACATACAGCCTATTCAGTAAATAAACTTGCTATTTAAAACTTAACTTTGTTACAAATGGAATAACAAGGTCTGTATATATTAACATTTCAACTATACATGAGAAACGGTAACCACCCCCCTTTACCGCAAAAGCAACAAACAAAAACAAAAAAGCAATAAATCATCAACACAAAAAAAACAAGATCAGACCTGCCCCTAATAATAAATAAAAAAAACTAAGTAACCCGTATTTTTTGTGCCAGTAAGATATGGACACGTGGCATTTGGGGGTATAAGGACCACCTCATTAGTCAAGCTCCATAGCGAGGTTTAACATTTGAGTGGTGCTTTAAAAAAAAAAAATACATTGAGAAAATAAAAAAGACAACATATACAAGCAATTTGATCCGTCTCAATTTCTGAACTACTGCTATCATTTTCTGTTTCTTCTTCATATTTGTCATTTTTCTCATGGACTTCATGAGAGACTTGGTTTACATAGCTTGAAACAAGATTCCCTACCCTTTCACAGGTCAGTTTGCTTCTTGCTTTCACATGCAGGAATCTGCAGTAAGTAAGATGCAAGAGGTTGGGGTGTGCAGAGACCTTGCCACCATAATGCAGGAGGGATACATTTTGCAGAATCCCAGTTTGATGGAAGGTCTGTTATATTTTCTTTGTTCAGCTCTGCTATAAACCTTTGAAGGATGTCCAGTTTCATGAAGTTACTAAGTAGTAAGTTTAGTGCATGAGATGCTCATCCTATTCCAGTAATATCTGCATACTTGTCTATTAAGATTTCACATGCAACTTTCATATTGTCAGCCAGCAAAGCAAATACTTAATCACTCAATTTTCTCTAAAACTGCACATACATGCACGTACATTGGACGCAGTTTTGATCCGGCCTGAACTGCTCTGCTCCTGGAACGCGCTTGGTGTAAACTAGCCCTAAAAGAGGCTTGCTCAAGGAATGTTTGCTTGGCAAATGGTATAAAGGTTATAATCATTTAAAAGCTTCCTGCCAATATGCATTTTCTGTTATTGACAATGCTGATCCAGAAGCATATTTTGCTCTTGCAAGAGCTTAGATAGAATTTTCTCCCGATTATCAGGTGTCATTCTATCTATAAATTAAAGTATTATGTATTTTTGTGAGGCAGTGGTTTGCAATTCTTCCTTACTTGAAGATGCTGCTGGTCAAGAAACACTTTCTGATGATACAGAAGCAGCGGAAAGTGTTTCTAGAATGAGAATTTGAGGGAAAAGCTACTTGCACTCTTTTAAGCCACTCATTTAATTTCATAATGTATTTTTTATTGTCTTTATGGCAATTCTGGCATTCAAAGATGTATTTCGTCATCCTTGTAGCATTTGGAAAACAAAATATTTATTCTCAGAGTATTGGCAAATTGCAGCTTTGCTCATAGCAGAAATTGCACTATGAAATTGTATTCCAAGATTTGCTTGTCTTCACCTGAGAAAACTTGCAATAATTTAAAACTTAACATAAAAGGGCTTTACAAGCTCTTTATGGTGTATAGTTTGAATACCATGTCATAGACATTATTTATCTTTCGAAGAGAAGATATTCCACACACTGGGTTTTTTTTCTATAAAAACGTAAATAAACAAAAAGGTATTTTGAAAAAAAGACAAAGAAAAAAAATTTTTTTCTCCCACTTTTTCCACGCTTTCGCATCTCTAGCTGTAGATTAAATTATTCCATTGGTTTCCCGAGATCTTAAAGGCTGCTCCACAGGACTGAATGTATAATGCAGATGCAGCTCAAAAGATTGACAAGTGGCTGTTCCACCTTGTTCGACACAGTATTGGCCACAGGGGAGACTACGATAATGGTTTAAACATTTGTCGCTGGACTTTCTCACCTGCAAACGGATTATTTTTCACAATGTGCTTAAAACTTTCTAATGTTCTTTTTCTTTTCTCCTCAATGTGATGAAAATCTCCTGTAAGAATATATAAATGAATTACAATAAATAAAATGCACGCGCACACACACACACACACACACACACACACACACACACACACACTTTAAAACAAAGCCAACCTACCTTCATCTGGTAGATACTGAAATTCCATAGGTTCGCTAACCTCCTTATCAGATGGCCTCCTCAACTGCATTTGGACCTTTACAGGCTGACGTATTCCTGGATCATGATATTGAGGTGTTCTAAAAACTATAGCCACTTGTCTGTGCACATCAGCTTGGGAAAATGACCCCCGTGCTTCCCAGTTACCCAATGCAAACACCACTTCGATATCTTCTGAAAAAGACAAAACAAAATAAGTTTAAAGAGCAAGGAACCCTTTTAGATAGAGATGTTCAGATACCAGTGCCGATACTTGGCATTTTTCAAAACTACCAGGGTCGCAGAAGTTCCAGCTGTGACAGGGCTCTGGTGCTCCACCACTGTCCTGAAACCATTAATCTGTATTGTTTGAGAAACGGTAAAACAAAAAATTTATCAGTAATTGTATCTGAGTACCTGGACAAGTTCTTCATCTGGGAAAAACGGGCATCTGTGCACATATACACACACTTTTTTTTTTAATTTAGTTTTGGAGCTGGAAAAGTATCTGTACTTGGTATCTGAACATCCCTACTTTTAGAAGTCACTTAAATAGGTCTACAATGAGAACAATGAACTATTCAAACTAAAATAAATGAAAACCTAAGACATTTTCACCATGAAAATATTCAAATCATATATTCTTCATAAGTGTGGAAATAGCTGCAACAATTCCTGCATCATAAAAGGGAACCCCAATGTAAAAGTCCCCCGCTATTCCTGTTTTGGTGACCATTATACAAAGTGGTAGGAAATCCAAAATGTTTGTCACTTTCAGGACAAATACAAATGGTAAACCTAAAAAGAGAGGGTTTGCACTTTCCTGCTCTTTTTAACCAATCCCCTCCACCTAACAAAAAAAAAAAAATATGGGAGGAAATACGGGGATAGAACACTGTCAGACAACAAATTTGTGGGCCAGCCCAGTATAACCCCGCCTACTCTTGCCTCAATGTTTTTAAATAAAGCAATGCTAGGAAGCCATGGACACAGAGGGGAGAGATGTGTGTCCCATAATGAATGCCAAGAAATTGATTTTACAGTAGGTACAAAAATCCCTTTTCCTTTCTCATCTATTGAGAAACACAGGAATTCAGAGACTGTCGGGGCATCCAAAAAGGAATGCAACTGAGGGGTGAGCAAGAGAAAAAGCATTAACATGCCCCAAAAAAAGCAAGTGGGGACTGCCTGCAGCTCAAAGAACCGCCTAAAGAACCTTACACCCGAAGCTGGCACCAGAAGTAGCATGGACATCCATGTAGCAAAAAGATAGAGAATATGTGAACAGAAGACCAGATGGTAGCCTTACAAATCTGGGAAACAGTTGCCTGTTGCCAAAAAGCCCAAGAAGGGCTCACAGATGTAGTAGAGTGCACCTTGACAAAGTGTGGAACCCGATCCTTGAGACCATATGGAAGATAGTCTAAGCCACCACACTGCCCGAACTACACCCAAACAGTGGTGGGAGATCTCCTTGTGTTGGAATGAAGCCAGACAAAAAGGATGGAAGAACAATATCCTGGTTGAGGTGAAAGGCTGAAGTGACCTTAGGAAGTAAGCAAGTTCTGAGCTTCAACACCAACTTGGCCCTGTGGAAGACCAGAAAGGGCTCTTCACAGGATAAGGCTGCCAGCTCAGACATGATGGCAACTAGAAAATGCAACATCTGCCCAGAGTCTGATCAAGTCGGAGTACCACATCCAGCTGGGCCAGTCCGGAACTGGAATGCCCTACCACTCAATTGTTGGAAGAAGACAAAGAAGCAGTTTTAAGGAAGGAAAGGCATTGTTCAGACTGTATTGATCCCACAGAGCCACCAGAGCATCCAATGCTTCCACTAGAGGATCTCTGTACCTGGAGACAAGCCAGTCCAGTTTAGAGTTGAAACCGTAAGCCAGAAGGTCCACATCTAAGTCCACCTGCCAATTGTATCCCCCTGCCAGAAAGTTTCCCTGATAAAAAGGGAGGCTATGATAGATCTGGTGGATTCTGGACCCGAATTAAAGCCCAAATGAAGACCTATAGGGCCTAGAAATTTGAAATGGGCAGAATGCTCACTTAGGGTTTGGGAACTGTGAACAGGTTTAAAGGCCATTTCCACCTTTGCGGGGGCATTAAAAAAAAACATATGCCAGCAATGTACACTGTGTGTAGATGATGCCGGCATATGCAGATCCTGGATATAAAAACACAAAAACTTAATTTTTTTAGTTGTCCTCTTAGGCTCCACATATTTTTTTTAAATGGCCGCCAGACTGCTTTGTACAGAGGAAACTACAGTGCAGGGAGTAGAAAAACTCAGTTTCCCACAATGCTTTGCTTCTCTCGTGCACGTTCAGTCATTAATATTCATAGTGGTACCTCCCCCTGGGCAGTGCAGAGTGACGGAGTTTTTTGTTTTACCTGCGACTACAGTTCGAGGATTGTTGTCAGTGATTGCTAAAGAAATCACAACAATCCAACTGTAGTCACAGGTAAAATAAAAACCTCCTGGTCACTCTGCACTGTCCCACGGGCAATATGGGGGGAATTAATCATAGCAATTGCGAGTGTTTGAACTTGCACACAATATATTTGCACCAGATTTATGATGCTAGTGTAATGTTGTTGATAAATGAGGTTCAATAGACTCCAGGAAAGAAGACTTGTAACTCCAGGCAAAAAGCTTAACTGTAGCATCTTGAAGAAGGTGTCATGGGGACTTCTTAAGTTGTGATTGTTTTCTAAGGTGATGCTCCAGTTTCAGACAGCCCAGAATAAGTGCAGATGAAAAACACATGCAAAAAAAACATGCAACTGAAAAAGTATTGCAAGCCCTGAGAAAACAGGTGCAAAACGCAATAATTGGAAAAGTAGTGTAAGCTCAGGTCAAAACAGGCGCACATTAAAAAAAAAATGTATCTAAGAGGCTAAAAAACTGTCGCAATTGCTTTGATAAATTCCCCCGTGTATATAATGGGGAGAATTTATCAAAACTGGAGCAGTTGTGAATGGCAACCAATCAGCTTCTCTCTTCAGTTTGTTCAGTTAGGCTTTGAAAAAGAAAGCGAGAAGCTCATTGGTTGCCATGCACAACTGCTCCAGTTTTTGTCTGCTCCAGTTTTGATAAATTCCGTTCAATGTGATTTACACCATGCTGTGAAAATTATATACCCCCAATGTTCAACTAAATCCTTGGTTCTCAACTAGTGGGTCGTGACCCAAAAGTGGGTCGCGACCCCATGTCCAGTGGGTCGCCACATTCCTTCCACTTTTCAAGGCGAGAGGATCCTCAGCCCCCTCCTAGAGAAGTAGTCAGTTCTCGCATCGAGCAGCCATTCAAAAATATGATGCCCGGTGCCGATTGTCGACATGGGGTCAGGTGGGGTGGGGTGGGGCCATGTCCACGAGAAAGCGCCATCCATACCTGCATTGCTTACAGCTCATCATATTCTGGCTCCCGGCACCTCTATGGGCACGTAAGGGAGCTCTACAAGCAATACACATGTGGATGGAGCTCCATCACAGCCCAGCAGCCCACACTGGACCCCAGGTTGAGGATCCACTCCAGTTTCCTTAATGGCAACCCATACGCACCTCCCACCCACAGTTTGATCACCTGCATCGGAAACCGCAACATGGAACAATGCAGTGCAACTTGGGTCGCAACTTAATGACCGAGGACAAATGTGGGTCCCGAGTTTACACAGGTGCAGAACCACTGAACTAAATCATTCCAAGTAATCCACAGTGTATTTATTAAACACAATCAAATGTGCCACACAAACAGGTGAATGTTAAATATACAAAAGCAATCGAAATATAAAGATGGAAACTACAATCTGCATCAGTGCCCCAGACAAAAATCTTCAATTAGGGATGCACCGATACATCACGAGCTGCCCCAATGCACCCCCCCCGCCCCTTAACCCCTTCATGACTGAGGCCCTTTTTTCATTTTTTGCACCCATGTTATATTCCACATTTTAGGCCTGAAAATGACGTAAAACCCCCCAACATTATATATTTTCTGAATGC